CCTGCAAGGCGACTGAGGCACAGTAGCATCTAGTCCTGGGTTTGTCACCGCAGCTCCACTGACTCTCACTGCCAGGCATCCAGCCTCCAAGCCTGCTCGGCCAGTACAACACGCTGAACGTCCCTGCCAAAATTAATAGGGCAGAACACAAGCGGTGTTTTCCTGACCCAACAATCCCCAGCAAACAGAAGAAACACCATTACTTCAGGGGTACGACCTCAAAGGGATCAGCCTGCTCCCACCCTCTTCACCATCCACCTTCCCATGCAACAGGATCGTACCGCTTCCCTCTACGCAAGCATTGGTGTTAACCCGGACTGACGCACAAGCTCCAGGAATGAATTTAACAGAAAAATCTCATAAAACACACAACTCCCCCAAACAAAAACACTCCATCTCTAAGTTTTCTGTTGCAGCTCCCTTGGCCACCCCAGCACATCAGTTTTGGCAAGATGGGTGGTGAGGGAGTACAACTGCCCATATCAAGCTCCACGTTAGATCGACGGTGCTGCATCCAGAGACCACATACTGATTGTAAGGATCTTGCCCCCCTCCCAACACCAATACCCATGGGAAGAGGGTCTTGCTTGAGTAGTTACTTCCAAACAGTTCAACTTTGCCTGTCACACAGAGGGAACTTTGTCCTCCTGCAACTGGACGATAATAGAGGAACAACATTTAACAAACCACAATTGAAAGCAAAGTCTATTACTGATCAGCTGTTAATTATCTTCACCTCTGAAAACTCTCTTCTGCAAAAGACAATTATAAGATGCACATAAATTCCTGGAGGTATTTAAAAGACATGAAGATGTGGTGCTTAGGGACATGGTTTAGCGGTGGACTCAGCAGTGCGAGGTTAATGGTTGGACTCAATGATCTTAAAGGTCTTTTCCAACCCAAACAATTCTATGATTCTATTATATGACAAACCTGTAAGTGTAATACTAAAAATGCCACAGGTGTTGTTACTGCAATATAAAACATTGCTTTTAATGAAGTTGGCTAATAGCAGATGAAGTGAAAGTAGTAGCACTTCTTCTCCCAAAAAAGATGCAAGATAAAAAGCGATTACAAAAAACACTGAAGCGCAAAGACTACCGTATTTGGAAAACCCAAAGAATTATCTTTTTAGTCGGTACGCTATATGGCAGTCAAGTGCGTAGCTGTTCTCCCTCTGCAGCCCCCCCCACGCCAGCCCAAGACTCCAGAGGGCTGACATTCTTAAGCCTCAATTATTTTCTAACAGCATGCTTCCAAAAGCGGGAGCAATCAAGTGGTTTTACTATAAACCAAACACCAACTTCGACAGCAATACCAGTAACGTAACAGATCATACTGAACTTAATGTAAAGAGACTGAAGCAGAACGAAAGTCCACAGCTCCACAGGAATGCAGACATGGGAGAAAATAAAGAGTTTTGTAAATAAGAGATAACAGCATTGTTGTTAACAGTAAGGAAGCAAAAAGTGCTGCTGCAAGATTTTCCTCAGGTCAGATTTCAGATAAAGTGAGGTCATTTAGTATGTCTACACGTATTACTAATGACTCAAAAACCTGTAGGTGTACTTACTCAATAAAAGCAAAAAAAAAAAGTGAAACATAGGAAACAAACAGAAAATGACAGAGTCAACAAAACACCCTTGTGCCTTTGTGTCTTTTAATAAATGTGGGGGTTGGGATTTAAATACATAAATAGGAAAAAAAAAAATCACAATTTGGACACCAGTTCTTCTAACCATTCTCTGCTTTCTGATGTTTCTGTAAAGGCTAAGATCTGGGGAGCAATCCTCATTGCACTGCCCAACAGACCTTCCTCCCCATGCTACAGCCACAGCTGTGAATGGCACACTACCTGAACACAGAGCAAAACCAGTTTTCCAAATGCTTTACATCTTGTTATCATTATCCACGTCTATGCCTGACACTTCGCTAGATGACAAGCTGCTTAAATGCAATCAGGATTGATTGATCAAGTAAATTTTTGGCCACGCAAAACAGAGTTTCAAAAACAACGCATGCACGCTTTCTTTTTCCCCCAGAGAGGTAAGTAAATTGCCTTTTTTTTTTAAACTATGTTATTACTGGAGCTTTTCCATATACAATTAGACAAGGTAGACTACTTCACCATCTCTCTCTGATCATCAGAAATTTAAAAGCAGTTGAATCTATAGCTTTTTTTTCCTATTTTTCATTTAGTTCAGCTGAACTGGTGCACAATATATTCTGAATACTCCATTAATACTTTTAATCACAGCTTATATAACTGAAAGCCTCTGGTCAGTTTTTAAAGTTTTGAAGACAGTTTGCTTAATTTGGTCTCAATTGACTGTTGTTACGTACCACCCCCGATACTCAGACAAAGCCTATTGGGTCAGACTCTCACCAAGGGCAACTCCACTGCTGCACAGATGAAGACCTTGGCTGCTATTCAGCCGTTAGCCTATTTATCATCACCTCACCCACCTAAATAAAAAAACACGTTCACAGGATTAAGTATGGAAATATACACAAAGTCATAATTGGTGCCACCAAGCGAGTCAACCAAGGGCAATACAGAATAAGACAGTAAGAATGAGGCTAAAATTCACAGTATCATCATGTAAATGAATATTTTCATTATTCTAACCTTCTTTTTTTTTTTTTTTTTAATAAAGTATGCTGACTTGGCTAGAGCTAGCTACTTCCTCCATGGTACACTGTACACTTGATGGTCTAATGTTATAAAGCCAGGCTCATACCACATTTTGGGCTGCTCTAAATATATCATTGGTCCACAAGACGACTACTCTGCATTACTAACCCAAATGAAGCATGTCAAAAAGTAGCTTCTACACATGAGCCATTTGTTGAAGTGGGTGACTAGAAACAAGCTTTTTAAAAAAGACTATTTTTGTCTCAGAGGAAATTCGAAATAAAAATACTTGAGAATAGGATACAAACACCACCAAAATCTCTATTAGAATTTTAGTTAGATAAATGCACTTCAGATTGTGCTCCTCCCCTAGTCAGTTTAAATGTTATGTTTGGCATTTTGACACAGATAGCAGCTTCCACAGAGATATCTGCAAATACTTGACATCGTATTCTTCTATCAGAAATAGAATATAATACATAGTACAACATAAAACATCATGCAACTTTCACACAGTATGCTGAAAAAAAGGTTTCCTAGATTTCATTCCCCCAACATATTATGTGCATCAACTTCTAGCAAATGAAGTAGTAATTATCATCACACAGTAAAATTAATTGCAAACAGCGAGGTATGATAAAAGCCCACACATCTGAGGTTCTCTGCCACAGGAATGCAGAAGGTATAACGTCAGAAGATGTAATGTGAAGGTTCTCAGTACAGCAAATAATCTTCTTAGTTTTAGGAACTTGTCCTAATGAGATGATAAAGGCAGACAATCAACTGAAAACAGTGCTTATCAGTTTAATTTCTAATACCGATTAAAAACTACTCCCAACTCGTTGAACAGCTCATTTTCCGTCAACAGGAGCTCTACAAAAGTTTCTAGGCAAACATCCTCAGTCTGCCAAACAAATGGCTTTCAGCTTTGTTGTGGTCTGGTCCTTTGACTGCGAGCCATGTTAGATATGGGGAAAGAATTACATTTAATTAATGCTGCTAGCTGACAAATTGAGCAAAAAATCCTAACAAACCAGCAATGGAAGCACAGCCACACACTAAATAATAATCTTGAATCAATTTTACTTGAATTTTATTATGGTGACACATCTGGAACAACAAGGTAGTGGGGGGGAAAGAAGGACCCATCTTTTAAGCCAGCTCTCTTTGAACACACCAAAAGACAGACTAGAAGTGTTCCTGCATTAGCTATTGCAAGAGCTTCAGTTAAAAAATAAATATATATATTATAAATTTAAAAATACTAAAAAAGTTTGCTAAAAAGCAAGTCAGTACGTTGGTCGGATACAGAGCACCAACATATCCTGGCCTCCTTCCCCCGAGAGTGGGGGGCTTTTCACGAGATGCTGTCCCAGGCCAGCTCAAGCTTTACCTGTGTGTTAGGCTCCTCCGGCTCACTGCTCACTGAAATATGCCCTATACATAATTAGGAGCCTCAAGCAGGAAGCCGCTACACAATACAAGTTTGCCTCAAACAAACCACAACTTGAAAACAGAAAAAATACTTGTTATAAACAGAAAAGCCTGAGCATTTTAAATTCTCATCCTTTTCTTGCAGTTTTTAAAATACTGATTGACACATGGTCCATGTTAAAATTGATGTTTAAGAACTCTAAAAAGCTTTAACAAAGAAATGGCCCAAACAAGTGGCAAGACATCTGCACATAATGAACAAAAATATTTGGCTGAGGAGCCAAGTTCTAAAAAAGGAAAATGAGAAGTGATTTAGCGCTATTACATGGGCTTGGTAAAAAAAAAAAAAAACCTTGCATATAATGGCATTGCTAATTCAAAAGGAAAAAAAACAAGGTGGGTTTTTTTTTGTCTAGGAGGAAGTGAACTACTGTAGCATCAGCACTTGTTTCCAGCGAGACCGATATTCACTGGAACTGGGTACACAAGTACGTTTGCGGAGAATAGTGATTATGACTAACACTGCCAGCATGGGAAAAAAGCTCTACGAATTCCCTGTTCTTTCAAAGCAGGGAAGTACCGCTTACAGTTTCCTCTTCGCTAAGCAAGAGCAGCACAGTAGTAATTAGGTCCTAAAACAACGGCTGAGAGTAGCTGCATGTGGCTATCACAGACTTCCCCAGCAGCAGGCAAGAGACCCGACTCTTCGAAGAGCTGCGCTGCTGAGTACTGAGCAGTCAGGACCGCAGCCGCCCAGAGCTCGCTGCCAGGGCATACCGGGAACTACTGCTCCAGAACGCAAAGCAAGTCCTTAACAAGGTTAGCTTCTTTCTGGCAGCTGAAGTACCGGCGTGGAAGACGTAATACAAAGAAATCAGAACCGGCAGCCTTAATCACCATTTGTTTCCCCACCTAAGGCTGACTAGGGTATGCAGCTACACCACAGCTGAGACACTATATACCACACCCTCTTCTCGGCACAGCCCTGCCCTCCCCACCATACCTCAAATATTTTATCGCTCTCTCCAGAAGCGCAAGATCAGAAGCACTTCCATCTTAGCTTCCCCTGCACCTACAGGTCGCGTGCGCGGTTGGCTTCAAATGCACCGAGGCTACTGCACTGCTGACAGCGCTGGGGGGAAAGGGGCAAGGGTTTGCAAAAAAAAGCCTTGATAAAGCAAAATTGCTAAGTAATGAGTTGTGCATTCACTCTGCTTATTGCGTTGCCTGCTCTCCTTATTACATGCCTGCTCTGCAGGCATTTAGTTTTAAGAAAATTACTTTCAGTCTTTGAATTGAGAACGCTGACATATCTTGCTAATTTTTTTCTGTGCTCGTATAACAAATGAGCTTAGAGAGGAGAGCACAATAGCAATCTCACTCCTCAAATTTTATCCGATTTCCACCCTGCTATTTTGTACTATTCTTCTAGGCTCCCATTTAAGAAACCCAGCAGCAGACAAGACCAATTTACAAATCACACTCTATAATCTAATTTTCTAAATTGTAAATAAAAATGAAATTACAACGGAGACACGACTGGGCACTGAGCAGGCTGAAACCCAGCAACCAAAGGGCCCACAAGCACACTTCCAGCTTGCGGCCTTGCCAGCTGAACACCTGTGACTTGTAAAAGGTTTGCTTTGTACCTGAATACGAGCTCAAGCTAGCATTACAGCCCAATCTCAAGATAACACCATTTGGAGGATTAAGATTTTACATTTTTGTCTGAAAACGCAGCCCCTCTACTTTTCTCTGACAGTTTTTCCCATGCCCTGACCCCTCCCCTTCAGATCACACAGCTTTTGTTTCTCTTCCAAGTGCTTCAAGCATTTAACGATTTTTTTTCAGGTGTTCAAAGTTGCACAGATCTGCCACACAAATCAACTTTATCTAATCCATCATATTACCTAATTTGCATTTCATTTCCTGCCTGCTTACCCAGAAATTACCAATAACCTCAGGGATTAGGCTGAAAAATATTCTGAGAAAACTGGAACCACATTATCTACTTTTACCCGGTCTACAGAGTCAGTAGGAAATTGCTACCTGCTCAGATGATGGAGCCTTTCTTCTATAGGTTATTCTTTGCCTCTCAACCAAACCATACAATGTAAGAACTTGTGTGTTTTTCCAATTTACTTTTGCACCATTAATTTTGATAAAAACATCTAGTCACACGATCTTTTTAGTATTTGTATAAAATCCAAATGTGTATATTTTCCAATTTACTCTGGTTATGCTATTTCACGCTGTTTGCAGGTAAGTTCTGGGTATTCTCTCATTCAAACAGAAATATTGCAAGGAGCTTTTTTATCAAAGTACTCAAAAGTAAATAAAAAGCCTTTGACTGCAGCACTTAAAAGGACAGAGTTAGAAAAGTCCTAGGTAAAAGTGACATTTAAATGTACTTCCTGCAGGCACTCCAAAGCAGACTGGCTTGCTCGATGAAAGAGTAGGATTTATCACTACTTACTAAAATAGATAAGGCGATACAACTGTAACAGCACATTAAACATTTGAGGCTAGAGGGAAGAAACCAGAATAGCCATGCTCCAATTTGTTCCATAAAACTGCAGCACCCTTTCTGCTGCAAACTACGTGAAAGGCATAGATACTGCTTGGCCTTCAGTTCAGAGGCAGTATTTTCAAGGCCAGTTTAAGAGGACAGAACATAAGCTTTGTATTATTAAGCTTAACAAAGGGACCAGCATGAAGGAGACATGGGGGCATGACACCAAACCACGAACGTCCTCTCTACAGAGCTAGCTATGCTTGGGAGACAAAGGAAGTGGCTAGCACCGCTGTTTTCTCAGTTTACAGCTCTGTGCGAGTTCTTCTCAAACAACTGCAGGGTTGTCAAAAATATCTGTTACAAAACTAGTTATTAAATACAGTAGTCAGACGTGTGCAAGGTATGCAATGCTTCAGATTCTCCAGCACAGGCATTCAGGGTTAATGGAAGGAGGTGGCGACACGAAACAAGTTACAGTACGGTCGAAAGATTAACTGTAAAAACCTACCTTTTGTAGACTAGTTGGGTTCAGCTGTGTTTTGTCAATTATTTTTATGGCAACCTAAAGGAAGAGTTCATAATCAGTATTTTCCATATGAACAACGCAGTGTTATTACAAGATGGACAAATCCAGTAATGGAAACAGAAAACATGAAATTTACACAAAACCCATTCAAGCTTCTTCAGCAAATTATGTACTTGTATTTAAACTAGAAACATTTAGAATTAACAGCTAAAGTGTAACTCATTTCTACTGCAACAAACTAAACAGGAGAGTGGAAAAAACCTTAGTATTTTAAGCATATTAAGATGAGAGAAGCTCACTTAGTCTTTTGCTTGACATTAAGACCATCACATTTATGCCAGTGGAAGCTCCAACACCAGCCAGTGCCCCGATAGAGAGCAGTGTGCCTACCAATAATATTTACACAGTATAATTACACAACAGATTACACAGTACTGACTGCACATTGGAAGTTTGTGAAGATGCTTCTAAAAGCTGAGATTTCAGAGCAAATTGAAAGTAATTCCACACAAATTTTGCAAGAACTAAGTCCACCTTTGGAAATTTACTGAATATTTGTATCAATTTGCTCCGTGATGGATATGAAAAGAAATATCATTTGTGCATTAACAAAAACCCACTGGCTGTAGTACAACAATTTGAGTGAGTTCCTTCCTTTACTGGTTCTCATCTTCTCATCAAATACTGCACAGAAATGCTAAAGAACAAAATAAAAATTTCACAAAATAATCAAAAGAGAAATTCAGTACCATGGTAACTAGTCAGAACCTCAAGATTTGAGGCAATGAATAAGCAACAAAGATGAGCTCCTGTGCAATGCAATTTGGATACACGATAAGTTAGAACAGGAAATGTGAATCTTTCTAGAACTACATGCCAATTGGTATTTTTCCTTTCTAAATTAGAGACTAAACATACCAGAAAAAACTCTGCAGAAGCCAAGGAGATGGTGCCTCTCAAAGAGGCAAGATGCTGCAACTCAGCTGATTATAATACCTCACTGGTGTGAAGCAAGGGCTTTCAATTCCCCTTGAATTTTTGGCTCTAATAGTAGACAATGCTCCTTCCCATGCCACAGCTCCCATTTCCCTGAATCACTGAGTGCTATCTTTGTGATCTCGTTAACTTGGGGTTGGCAACATAAAGAATAAAGAATATCTTATATCAAAGCAATTTTATTTCCCTAC